ATATATCTATATATCTACCTATAGTCTCTATATATCTACCTATAGTCTCTATATATCTACCTATAGTCTCTATATATCTACCTATAGTCTCTATATATCTACCTATAGTCTCTATATCTACTACCTATATCTATATATCTAACCTATAGTCTCTATATATCTATATATCTACCTATAGTCTCTATATATCTACCTATAGTCTCTATATATCTACTTATAGTCTCTATATATCTACCTATAGTCTCTATATATCTATATATACAGTGGGGCAAAAAAGTATTTAGTCAGCCACCAATTGTGCAAGTTCTCCCATTTAAAAAGATGAGAGAGGCCTGTAATTTTCATCATAGGTACAACGTCAACTATGACAGACAAAATGAGAATTTTTTTTCCAGAAAATCACATTGTAGGATTTTTAATGAATTTATTTGCAAATTATGGTGGAAAATAAGTATTTGGTCAATAACAAAAATGTCTCAATACTTTGTAATATACCCTTTGTTGGCAATGACACAGGTCAAACATTTTCTGTAAGTCTTCACAAGGTTTTCACACACTGTTGCAGGTATTTTGGCCCATTCCTCCATGCAGATCTCCTCTAGAGCAGTGATGTTTTGGGGCTGTCGCTAGGCAACACGGACTTTCAACTCCCTCCAAAGATTTTCTATGGGGTTGAGATCTGGAGACTGGCTAGGCCACTCCAGGACCTTGAAATGCTTCTTACGAAGCCACTCCTTCGTTGACCGGGCGGTTTGTTTGGGATCATTGTCATGCTGAAAGACCCAGCCACGTTTCATCTTCAATGCCCTTGCTGATGGAAGGAGGTTTTCACTCAAAATCTCACGATACATGGCCCCATTCATTCTTTCCTTTACACGGATCAGTCGTCCTGGTCCCTTTGCAGAAAAACACCCCCAAAGCATGATGTTTACACCCCCATGCTTCACAGTAGGTATGGTGTTCTTTGGATGCAACTCAGCATTCTTTGTCCTCCAAACACGACGAGTTGAGTTTTTTAACCAAAAAGTTTCATCTGACCATATGACATTCTCCCAATCCTCTTTTGGATCATCCAAATGCACTCTAGCAAACTTCAGACGGGCCTGGACATGTACTGGCTTAAGCAGGGGGACACGTCTCGCACTGCAGGATTTGAGTCCCTGGCGGCGTAGTGTGTTACTGACGGTAGGCTTTGTTACTTTGGTCCCAGCTCTCTGCAGGTCATTCACTAGGTCCCCCTGTGTAGTTCTGGGATTTTTGCTCACCGTTCGTGTGATCATTTTGACCCCACGGGGTGAGATCTTGCGTGGAGCCCCAGATCGAGGGAGATTATCAGTGGTCTTTTATGTCTTCCATTTCCTAATAATTGCTCCCACAGTTGATTTCTTCAAACCAAGCTGCTTACCTATTGCAGATTCAGTCTTCCCAGCCTGGTGCAGGTCTACAATTTTGTTTCTGGTGTCCTTTGAAAGCTCTTTGGTCTTGGCCATAGTGGAGTTTGGAGTGTGACTGTTTGAGGTTGTGGACAGGTGTCTTTTATACTGATAACAAGTTCAAACAGGTGCCATTAATACAGGTAACGAGTGGAGGACAGAGGAGCCTCTTAAAGAAGAAGTTACAGGTCTGTGAGAGCCAGAAATCTTGCTTGTTTGTAGGTGACCAAATACTTATTTTCCACCATAATTTGCAAATAAATTCATTAAAAATCCTACAATGTGATTTTCTGGATTTTTTTCCCTCAATTTGTCTGTCATAGTTGACATGTACCTATGATGAAAATTACAGGCCTCTCTCATCTTTTTAAGTGGGAGAACTTGCACAATTGGTGGCTGACTAAATACTTTTTTTCCCCACTGTATACCTATAGTCTCTATATATCTACCTATAGTCTCTATATATCTATATATCTACATATAGTCTCTATATATCTATATATCTACCTATAGTCTCTATATATCTACCTATAGTCTCTATATATCTACCTATAGTCTCTATATATCTACCTATAGACTCTATATATCTATATATCTACCTATAGTCTATATATATCTACCTATAGTCTCTATATATCTATATATCTACCTATAGTCTCTATATATCTATATATCTACCTATAGTCTCTATATATCTACCTATAGTCTCTATATATCTACCTATAGTCTCTATATATATCTACATATAGTCTCTATATATATATATATCTACCTATAGTCTCTATATATCTATATATCTACCTATAGTCTCTATATATCTACCTATAGTATCTATATATCTACCTATAGTCTCTATATATCTACCTATAGTCTCTTACTATATATCTACCTATAGTCTATTATCTACCTATAGTCTCTATATATCTACCTATATCTCTATATATCTCTTATATCTATATATCTACCTATAGTCTCTATATATCTACCTATAGTCTCTATATATCTACCTATAATCTCTATATATCTACCTATAGTCTCTATATATCTATATATCTACCTATAGTTCTCTATATATACTACCTATAGTCCTATATATCTACCTATAGTCTCTATATATCTACCTATATCCTATACTAATCTACCTATAGTCTCTATATATTATCCTATAGTCTCTATAATATACACCTATAGTCTCCTATATTCTATATATCAACCTATAGTCTCTATATATATACCTATAGTCTCTATATATCTACCTATAGTCTCTATATATCTATATATCTACCTATAGTCTCTATATATCTACCTATAGTCTCTATATATCTATATATCTACCTATAGTCTCTATATATCTACCTATAGTCTCTATATATATACCTATAGTCTCTATATCAACCTATAGTCTCTATATATCTACCTATAGTCTCTATATATCTACCTATAGTCTCTATATATCTATATATCTACCTATAGTCTCTATATATCTATATATCTACCTATAGTCTCTATATATCTACCTATAGTCTCTATATATCTCCTTATAGTCTCTATATATCTACCTATAATCTCTATATATCTATATATATACCTATAGTCTCTATATATCTACCTATAGTCTCTATATATCTATATATCTACATATAGTCTCTATATATCTATATATCTACCTATAGTCTCTATATATCTACCTATAGTCTCTATATATCTACCTATAGTCTCTATATATCTACCTATAGACTCTATATATCTATATATCTACCTATAGTCTATATATATCTACCTATAGTCTCTATATATCTATATATCTACCTATAGTCTCTATATATCTATATATCTACCTATAGTCTCTATATATCTACCTATAGTCTCTATATATCTACCTATAGTCTCTATATATATACCTATAGTCTCTATATATATATATATATCTACCTATAGTCTCTATATATCTATATATCTACCTATAGTCTCTATATATCTACCTATAGTATCTATATATCTACCTATAGTCTCTATATATCTACCTATAGTCTCTATATATCTACCTATAGTCTCTATATATCTACCTATAGTCTCTATATATCTACCTATAGTCTCTATATATCTATATATCTACCTATAGTCTCTATATATCTATATATCTACCTATAGTCTCTATATATCTACCTATAGTCTCTATATATCTACCTATAGTCTCTATATATCTACCTATAGTCTCTATATATCTATATATCTACCTATAGTCTCTATATATCTACCTATAGTCTCTATATATCTACTTATAGTCTCTATATATCTACCTATAGTCTCTATATATCTATATATCTACCTATAGTCTCTATATATCTATATATATATATACCTATAGTCTCTATATATCTACCTATAGTCTCTATATATATACCTATAGTCTCTATACATCTACCAGCTGAGCTACAGAGGACCACAAAAGTTAGTTGACAACTCAACCAAATGTAAATGTGCACAGTGAGTTGTGTCAGATAGGCTGGATGCTATTATGAGAGAATGAAGGTTGACTGACAGGCTCACATTGTTGAACTCCTCTTTCTTCTCCAATCCGGAGGACATAAAACAATATAGAGGTAAGATCGATTTTGAGACATGACATATATTTTAGTATATGCTTTTCATATACAGTAAATGTGAAATTCCTGTTCTTTTTTCGAAGATCTCTCAGAAAAACAAGCGTATCTATGAAATGTCAACGGAGCAAGCTTTTTATAGAAAAATATTTTTACATATAATTCAGCTCGTGTCATGTTAATTTTGCTTTTTTGCGACCCGCGGAAACAACTTTGCAGAAGACCACCACAACATGTTAAATCCTCAAAAGTTGCTGCGAGAAGCGGCACCGCTCTGTCAACAGAGCTTGATGTATTAGTTAAACGAAATCTGACTTCTTGGATATAATGTTAATGATATGTTAGAGAAATACCCCGCTGAACGATTCAGAACATGAAGAATCATATGTCTTGGTAAAATGTATTTTATAACATAAGGAAGTTCAATTTCATCACCAAAGCGTGTTTTCACCCACTCTGGGCAGAGTGGGTGGACACCACTACCCTATATCCTTGTATCCTGCGGCAGGTAGCTTAGTGGGTAAGAGCGTAGAGCGTAGTGCCAGTAACCGAAAGGTTGCTGGTTCTAATTCCCGAGCCGACTAGGTGAAAAATCTGTTGATGTGCCCTTGAGCAAGGCACTTAACCCTAATTGCTCCTGTAAGTTGCTCTGGATAAGAGCGTCTGCTAAATGACTAAAAATAAAAAATAAATAAAAATATCCTTGCCTCAGTACATGGAGGTTAGCCAGGTCAGGAGGGAGGAAGTAGTTGTTTTAGCTGACGATGACAGATGAGGGACCAGACCAGACCAGACCAGACCAGACCAGACCCGACCCGACCCGACCCGACCAGAACAGACCAGACCAGACCAGACCAGACCCGACCCGACCAGACCAGACCAGACCAGACCAGACCAGACCAGACCCGGTGTGTCTGTGACCCCCTACCTCCACCTCTCCTCACCTTGTCCTGTCCACTCCACCCTACCTCCACCTCTCCTCACCTTGTCCTGTCCACTCCACCCTACCTCCACCACTCCACCTCTTCTCACCTCGGCTCACCCTCTGCTTCGCTCCCGACAGGATCCCCGGCGTGTCGATGACGCTGATGCTCTCCAGGACCTGATTGGGCAGCTGGGCGCACTGGAACCTATCACGCAACAGCAGAGAAGTGGGCGGGACATGCACAACACTCATTACACAATAACATAACATGGAACAGTTAGAGGTATGAACATCTAGCATCTATAGTTTACCTACAGGATCTCCTCAGGTCAGGGCAACTTTCTAACATTCCACTAAATGCCCCCCAGTTCACCCCAGACCCGTCCACCGCTCCATCAGTTAACATCAATGGAACTAATGTGTAGGAATAATGTAGGAACATGGTTATCAGTTATGGTCACTCCAAGTGCTGAGCAATTAACCCCCCCCCCCCCCCAATTCTGAGTTTAATGCGCAGTTTCTCTAGAGATAAATCAGATCAAGCCTGAACTGTGAGATGTAGTGAGGAGTTGTAGTTTCCAACAGGTCAATACTCTACATAGTTTAGCGCAGAAAACGTGGTAATTAACTACAATGACCATAATTCATTGTGCGCCTACTTGTACAGAGAGAAGAGACAGGAGAATGAACGATGGAGAGGGACAGAGAGAAGAGACAGGAGAATGAACGATGGAGAGGGACAGAGAGAAGAGACAGGAGAATGAGCGATGGAGAGGGACAGAGAGAAGAGACAGGAGAATGAGCGATGGAGAGGGACAGAGAGAAGAGACAGGAGAATGAGCGATGGAGAGGGACAGAGAGAAGAGACAGGAGAATAGCGATGGAGAGGGACAGAGAGAAAGACAGGAGAATGAGCGATGGAGAGGGACAGAGAGAAGAGACAGGAGAATGAGCGATGGAGAGGGACAGAGATAAGAATACATGAGAATGAGCGATGGAGAGGGACAGAGAGAAGAGACAGGAGAATGAGCGATGGAGAGGGACAGAGAGAAGAGACAGGAGAATGAGCGATGGAGAGGGACAGATGAGAAGAGACAGGAGATGACGATGGAGAGGGACAGAGAGAAGAGACAGGAGAATGACGAATGGAGAGGGACGAGTAGAAAGAGACAGGAAATGAGTCGATGGAAAGGGACAAGAGAGAAAGAGCCAGGAGAATGAGCGATGGAGAGGGACAGAGAGAAGAGACAGGAGAATGAGCGATGGAGAGGGACAGAGAGAAGAGACAGGAGAATGAGCGATGGAGAGGGACAGAGAGAAGAGACAGGAGAATGAGCGATGGAGAGGGACAGAGAGAAGAGACAGGAGAATGAGCGATGGAGAGGGGACAGAGAGAAGAGACAGGAGAATGAGCGATGGAGGAGGGACAGAGAGAAGAGACAGGAGAATGAGCGATGGAGAGGGACAGAGAGAAGAGACAGGAGAATGAGCGATGGAGAGGGACAGAGAGAAGAGACAGGAGAAATGAGCGATGGAGAGGGACAGAGAGAAGAGACAGGAGAATGAAGCGATGGAGAGGGACAGAGAGAAGAGACAGGAGATATGAGCGATGGAGAGGGACAGAGAGAAGAGACAGGAGAATGAGCGATGGAGAGGGACAGAGAGAAGAGACAGGAGAATGAGTCGATGGAGAGGACAGAGAGAAGAGAACAGGAGAATGAGCGATGGAAGGACAGAGAGAAGAGACAGGAGAATGAGCGATGGAGAGGGACAGAGAGAAGAGACAGGAGAATGAGCGATGGAGAGGGACAGAGAGAAGAGACAGGAAATGAGCGATGGAGAGGGACAGGAGAAGAGACAGGAGAATGAGCGATGGAGAGGGACAGAGAGAAGAGACAGGAGAATGAGCGATGGAGAGGGACAGAGAGAAGAACAGGAGAATGAGCGATGGAGAGGGACAGAGAGAAGAGACAGGAGAATGAGCGATGGAGAGGGACAGAGAGAAGAGACAGGAGAATGAGCGATGGAGAGGGACAGAGAGAAGAGACAGGAGAATGAGCGATGGAGAGGGACAGAGAGAAGAGACAGGAGAATGAGCGATGGAGAGGACAGAGAGAAGAGACAGGAGAATGACGATGAGAGGACGAAGAAAGACAGGAAGAGGTGAGAGGACAAGAAAGCAGGAGAATGAGCGATGGAGAGGGACAGAGAGAAGAGACAGAGAATGAGCGATGGAGAGGGACAGAGAGCAGCTGCTTCAAGAGGGATCTCTACCTGAAAATACATGATCTAACTGACTGATAGTTGGTATTCAGCAATCATAAAAGTCTGCCTTATTTACTTTGAAAAAACCCACTAAAATAGTGATTTTGTCAGACATCATAGGCAGCAACTCTTCAGAGATGAGATGACTTGGAATAAAAAATAATAAAGTCATCAAATAAAACAAATGTAATATACTCAAAAACTGAAATGTTTTATTAAAGTAAAGTAATGTGAATACATGATGGTTAATAAGTGATAAGCAGTAATGGGCAGTCACTACCATGAGTTGAGAGCTGGACTCATTGTGCTACTGTATCGGACACCTCCCTTCCCAGGACCCATTGTGTTATAGCAGGGCTCGCTCTGGGCTTCCTGAAGGAAAACGGTCTGCAGGGCCAGAGCCACAACAATAGGACCCGCTAATGATCGGCCGCTAACAACAACACTGCTATTTCCTGATTCAGATGGCTTTAACGAGACCAGGGCTTCACCAGACAGGAAGGACCGACGCAACAACACCACCCCACCGAGGGAGAGGGAGAGGGAGAGGGAGAGAGAGAGAGAGAGAGAGAGAGCGAGAGAAGAGAGAGATAGAGAGAGAGAGAGAGAGAGAGAGAGAGAGAGAGAGAGAGAGAGAGAGAGTAGAGAGAGAGAGAGTGAGAGAGAAGAGCAGACAGAGTAGACAGAGACAGATACATAGTAAGAGACGAGAGACAGATAGAGAAGAGAGAAGAGAAGAAAGAGATAGAAAACAGAATCAGACAGAGAGAGAGGACTAACCAGACCAGAACAAGACAAGAATAGACATAATACGAGAGACAGAGACAGAGAGACACAGATACATACAAACAGACAGAGAGACAAGACAGAGAACAGAGACACATAGAATAGATATATAGTAGATATGATAGAGAGAAGACAGACATAGATATAATGAAATATATGACAACATGAAGAAAGAACAGAGACACGAGAGAGAGAGAGACTAGATAGATAGATAGATAGTAAAATAGAGTAGACGAAGACAGACAGATAGAGAGTAGAGAGAGAGAGCAAGATGATAGATAGAGAGATTAGATAGATGAGAGAGATAATAGAATAAGAGACAATAATGATCAGACGATATAAATACGAAAGTAAGAACCAGTCAGTCTCTACTCTTCTCTCGTGCCCTATACAGACATATCAGCTGATACATAGACAACAGACAATATAAGAGTCTACTATATCATTCCTACCGACAGCATCCCCAGAGTAGAGTATAGACAGTATAGACAGAGCAGATACATAGATAGAAATAGAGATATAGAAGAGGAATAGAGAAGAGAGACCCCAGCTACGACAGCCTCTCCTCTCTCGTCTCCTATCTAGAATCCCTACACCCACATACTACAGAGATAGTACCGAAACGATACATTAATATAGAAGTATATATATTCAGAGATATACAAGATAGAAATCTACTATATTAGATACTGACCCTACTACTATGATCAACTACGCTACACTATAGAAGAAAGAACAGAGAACATATACAGAGAAGATAGAATAGACAAGAGAGAGAAAGATAGAGAACAGAAAGCAGATAGAGAAAGAGACAGAATGCATAGAGTATACTAGACAACATACACAGACAATACAGAGATATAATATATACATGATCTATAGATATGAGAGAAGATAGTATATATATAAGATAGATATACAATATAGAATAATATATAGATCAAAAAATAATATAATAGATGATATAAATAGCATAGAGGGATATATAATATATTAATACCATATACAATATAAAAATAATATATATAAGTGAGCAATATAATCATTCTTCTTGAACTTTGCCGTTTTTCCATCATAACATCATCACTGCTTTGGTTATCTACACTCATCTGGCCTGATGGTTATGGTTAGGAATTTGGGAGTGTAGGCTGGCCCCAGATCTTTGCCTAAAGGTTACATCTACTTTATCTGTTCTGCCCATAATTCTAGTGTTAGACTCCTACAGTTGACATGGCTTCAGTGTAACAACAAACATAGCTGCCACAGCTTACCTCAATAGAGGGAAACCCCTGAAAAGAGTGTATCCCAGACGACAGGATAAACACACCCGAGCAGTGGAAAATACCTCAGGGTGATTCAGCCCAGCCAGTCTGCTCTGCTTTACCCCTGGCCCTGCCATGTCTCTGACATCATCTGTTAGTTAGTCTTGCATGGCTGTGGCCCTGGAGCCCTCTGACCCGGCCTTTGAACTGGAGCACATAGCAGCTCATGTCTGAGTACCCTACCTCTCCCCACCCTCTCCCTCTCTGCAGAGATATCACTCCCTTTCTCCATTTTTCCACAAATAAGGCAAGTCCCTCCCAGCTCTGAAATTTGGCACGGACACTTGAAATTCCATAGAGCAAAAAACGGACACACTTCTTTTCTGTTATCGCTCCCTTCGTGGCTCTCCTCACCTTCCATTGGAGGAGGTGGGGGGGTGGGGGGGGGTCTCAGTTGCTTTCCTCTCACTCAATCTCTCCATTACATGCTTTTCATCCTTATCTCCCCACTCCTTCAACCCCTCCTCCCCCCACCCCCCCTCATTCTAGAACATTCTAAAACACGACATCCTGCATTCCGGATTCCATCCTGTACTCACCTGTTGAGGAAGGTGTTTCCGAAGGGGTTGAGCTTGCGAAAGGGTTTGTTGGGGTCAACGATGAGAGCGTTGCCTGGGATCACCCCCTCCACCTCACCGTGCATGATGGCTGTGAAACAGTCGGTGGTGGGCTCTGGCCCGATCCTGCTTCCTGGGATATCCTGCTCCAACAGATACCTGGTATACACACAGCAACAGGTCACCAGGTCAGCAAATGAGCAATGGTAGAGCAAATGTTCATCAAAATATTAGCGGTAAATCATGGCAACAAACTGAATGTTTTGCAGTACAACATGAAGGGCCCAGGTAGTTAGAGTCCGTTATAGGACACAGAGGTCCTTCCGAGACAGGTCATGTGATCAGGCCCTTCCTATAATTTCTAAAAGTTGGTCTGGAGTAGTTCAGGAGCAACTCCTGTCCCTACCTACCGTATAATCTGTAAAAGGTCTTACTTGATGACGGTAGTGTTGCCAGCGGAGTACTGTCCCACAACAAGCACCATGGACTACAGGTTAACCTGTATAGTGCCTTCACAAAGTATTCACACCCCTTGACGTGTTCCACATGTTGTTGTGTTACAGCCTGAATTCAAAATGGATTAAATAGATTTTCTTTCTCACCCATCTACACACAATACCCCATAATGTTTTTATAAATTTTTTCAAATTGATTGAAGATGAAATACAGAAATATCTTGTTACTAGACAGCCATTTTCAAGCTGATTTAAGTCAAAACTGTAACTAGGCCACTCAGGAACATTCAATGTCGTCTTGGTAACTCCAGTGTATATTTGGCCTTGTGTTTTAGGTTATTGTCCTGATGAAAGGTGACTGTCTCCCAGTGTCTGGTGGAAAGCAGACTGAACCAGGTTTTCCTCTAGGACTTTGCTGGGCTTAGCTCTGTTCCTTTTCTTTTTATCCTAAAAACTCCCTAGTCCTTATCGATGATAAGCATACCCATAACATGATGCTGCCACCACCATGCTTGAAAATATGAAGAGTGGTACTCAGTGATGTGTTGTGTTGGATTTGCCCCAAACATAACGCTTTGTATTCAGGACATAAAGTTAATTTCTTTGCTACATTTTTTGCAGTTTTACTTTAGGGCCTTATTGCGAACAGGATGCATGTTTTGGAATATTTTTGTTCTGTACAGGCTTCCTTCTTTTCACTCTGTCAATTAGGTTAATATTGTGGAGTAACTACAATGTTGTTGATCCATCTTCAGTTTTCTCCTATCATTAAACTCTGTAACTGTTTTAAAGTCACCATTGGCCTCATGGTGAAATCCCTGATAGGTTTCCTTCCTCTCCGGCAACTGAGTTAGGAAGGACGCCTGTATCTTTGTAGTGACTGGGTGTAATTAACAACTGACTTAGGAAGGACGCCTGTATCTTTGTAGTGACTGGGTGTAATTAATAACTGACTTAGGAAGGACGCCTGTATCTTTGTAGTGACTGGGTGTAATTAATAACTGACTTAGGAAGGACGCCTGTATCTTTGTAGTGACTGGGTGTAATTAATAACTGACTTAGGAAGGACGCCTGTATCTTTGTAGTGACTGGGTGTAATTAACAACTGACTTAGGAAGGACGCCTGTATCTTTGTAGTGACTGGGTGTAATTAATAACTGACTTAGGAAGGACGCCTGTATCTTTGTAGTGACTGGGTGTAATTAATAACTGAGTTAATAACTGAGGAAGGATGCATGCTTTCTACTTCTCAATTTTTATTCATTTAAAAAACATTCTACAAACATAATTCCACTTCAACATTATGGGGTATTGTGTGTAGGCCAGTGCAAAAAAAATCTCAATTTAATCCATTTTAAATTCAGGCTGTAACACAACTAAATGTGTAGAAAGTCAAAGGGTGTGTATACTTTCTGAAGGCACTGCATATAAACCTTACTATATGTAAACCTCACTGTATCTAAACCTCACTGTATCTAAACCTCACTGTACATAAACCTCGCTGTATATATTATCTTACTTGATGAAGGTCGTCTTGCCAGTGGAGTACTGGCCCACCACCAGCACCATGGGCTTGTTGTCGAAGTCTGCGTCCTCCAGAGAGGGGGAGTGGAAGTCCTGGAAACCATAGAACTGCTCCAGGGGGAGGAGCTTCTGACGGTACAGAGACTTTAGCCCCTCCGTTACTGTCCTGATCACCTCAGGAGTTTTCTTCACTTCCTTACGGCCCCAACGAGACATCCTGATTGGCTGACTGGCTGAATGATTGGCTGATTGGTTGATTGATCGTTGCCCTTCAAGAGGATATTATCTACCTAGAGGAATGTGAGGGAGCTTGGGAGTTCAGTAAATTATCTGTGGGAGTGAGTGTGTGTGTGTGTGTGTGTGTGTGTGTGGGTGTGTGTGTGTGGGAGTGTGTGTGTGTTGCGTCTGTGTTTCTTGAGGGTGAACCTGGGAGCGTTTTCAGGTGTTTCCTGTGCTAATGTGAACTCTTCTCCTCTGAGCCTCTTCTCAGCGGGCCACTCACAGGATGGTACTGAATGTTACTGTACGGCTGCTTAATGTCGTTATAGCTCTGGTCTGGGTCTTCACTCTTCTACACAGTCACCACTCTTGACTCCTGAAAGAAAACCAGAAACCAGCAATGAAACGTAAATGATGAACATATCTCTAGAAAGACACGGACACACTGCTGCAAAAGAACACCCTAAATGTCAACATGTTCCAGTGCCATTCTGTAGTGACATGAAACTACTAGAAACGACCTCGAACAGAGAGTCTGTTCAGAACACCTTACACATACAGAACATACAGGTAGACACCTTACACATACAGATCATACAGGTAGACACCTTACACATACAGAACATACAGGTAGACACCTTACACATACAGAACATACAGGTAGACACCTTACACATACAGAACATACAGGTAGACACCTTACACATACAGAACATACAGGTAGACACCTTACACATACAGAACATACAGGTAGACACCTTACACATACAGAACATACAGGTAGACACCTTACACATACAGAACATACAGGTAGACACGTATAGGGGCCTAGTATAGAACAGCTATGATACTCAAGAATAGGTCAGTGGGATTTCAGGTCTATGCATACAATTCTGTCTGCAACATTGTGAATATTACACCCTACTGAACACAGCCTACCTGCCTGCCTGACTGACTGCCTGCCTGCCTGCCTGCCTGCCTGTCTGACTGAATGACTGCCTGCCTGAATGACTGCCTACCTGCCTGCCTGAATGACTGCCTGCCTGCCTGCCTGCCTGCCTGCATACCTGACTGAATGACTGCCTGACTGAATGACTGCCTGACTGAATGACTGCCTGCCTGCTGCTGTGACTTTTCCTACGGACGTGGAGTCAGACCCACCGGGAAACTTCAGTGCATTGTCTGGAAACTACAGAACATTGTCTGGAAACTACAGAACATTGTCTGGAAACTACAGTGCATTGTCTGGAAACTTCAGTGCATTGTCTGGAAACTACAGTGCATTGTCTGGAAACTTCAGTACATTGTCTGGAAACTACAGTGCATTGTCTGGAAACTTCAGTACATTGTCTGGAAACTACAGTGCATTGTCTGGAAACTTCAGTGCATTGTCTGGAAACTACAGTGCATTGTCTGGAAACTTCAGTGCATTGTCTGGAAACTACAGTGCATTGTCTGGAAACTTCAGTGCATTGTCTGGAAACTACAGTGCATTGTCTGGAAACTACAGTGCATTGTCTGGAAACTTCAGTGCATTGTCTGGAAACTACAGAACATTGTCTGGAAACTACAGTACATTGTCTGGAAACTTCAGTGCATTGTCTGGAAACTATAGTGCATTGTCTGGAAACTTCAGTGCATTGTCTGGAAACTTCAGTGCATTGTCTGGAAACTACAGTGCATTGTCTGGAAACGTCAGTGCATTGTCTGGAAACTACAGAACATTGTCTGGAAACTACAGTACATTGTCTGGAAACTTCAGAACATTGTCTGGAAACAACAGAACATTGTCTGGAAACGACAGAACATATAGTGCGACAGAAACTATAGTGCATTGTCTGGAATCTTCAGTGCATTGTCTGGAAACTTCAGTACATTGTCTGGAAACTACAGTGCATTGTCTGGAAACTTCAGTGCATTGTCTGGAAAAGACAGTGCATTGTCTGGAAACTACAGAACATTGTATGGAAACTACAGTACATTGTCTGGAAACTTCAGTGCATTGTCTGGAAACTACAGAACATTGTCTGGAAACTACAGTACATTGTCTGGAAACTTCAGTGCATTGTCTGGAAACTATAGTGCATTGTCTGGAAACTTCAGTGCATTGTCTGGAAACGTCAGTGCATTGTCTGGAAACTACAGAACATTGTCTGGAAACTACAGTACATTGTCTGGAAACTTCAGAACATTGTCTGGAAACAACAGAACATTGTCTGGAAACGACAGAACATATAGTGCGACAGAAACTATAGTGCATTGTCTGGAATCTTCAGTGCATTGTCTGGAAACTTCAGTACATTGTCTGGAAACTACAGTGCATTGTCTGGAAACTTCAGTGCATTGTCTGGAAAAGACAGTGCATTGTAAGAGCATGTCTGGAAAAACCTGGTGTTCCCTTGCAGTGGAAACACTAACACACACACACACACACACACACACACACACACACACACACACACACGCAGCCCTGCATCCACACCTTAGTAGCCTACCTCATTTCCTTACATTGAAATGAGTAAAGACATCCTTCTTTCCAAGAGGATGTTTGTTCTCAGGGGGACGTTAAACGAGTGAATGATTATCAAATTGTTCGCACAATGAAACGCTGTTGGAGAATGTTGGAACACACACACACCGATCCTCTGTACATGCATAGACACAGTCAGCCCTTTCATCCGTGGGTTGTTGATCACCAGTCTGCTCTGAGAGAGCAGGTCATTAGAGGAGTCAACTACTGAATGGTGCTGTATGCTCCAAGAGAAGAACTACATCTGATAGGTATGAATGGTGCTGTATGCTCCAAGAGAAGAACTACATCTGATAGGTATGAATGGTGCTGTACGCTCCAAGAGAAGAACTACATCTGATAGGTATGAATGGTGCTGTACGCTCCAAGAGAATAACTACATCTGATAGGTATGAATGGTGCTGTACGCTCCAAGAGAAGAACTACATCTGATAGGTATGAATGGTGCTGTACGCTCCAAGAGAAGAACTACATCTGATAGGTATGAATGGTGCTGTACGCTCCAAGAGAAGAACTTCATCTGATAGGTATGAATGGTGCTGTAATGTAACTGTGTGTGGTGATCGTCAGATCAGATTGCACCTCCTGTCTTTATCTCGCTCTTCCTTTGCTGGTAAGAGCTACAGTGAGAGAATAAAGATCAGATCAGTCACACATCAGTAGATGTGAACTCATCTGTGGAAGAGAGAGAAAGCGAGAGAGAGCGAGAGAGAGACGGAACTTCCTGGACCAAATGTTTCCCTGCAATAGTGAAGGTGTAAACTTAGCAGTAGGAAGCCTGAATAGTATATTTAACATATCAAATATATATTAAGACAATTAACAGCAATGAGAAATGGTTTGATGAAGAGTGCAAAAACCTAAGAAAGAAATTGAGGAACCTATCCAACCAAAAAAACAGACCCAGAAAACCAGATTGTAGGCCTTTATTAAAAAGTAGAGATACACTAAGAAAAAAGAAGGAACAGCATGTCAGAAAACAGCTCAATAACCACGTTTCCATTCACAGTTCTTATGCGAGTAAAGTCATTCCCTATAAAAAAAAATAATAATAAAATCACGACAGCTGTGCTGGAGACAGGAAGTTTCGGTACAATTTTATAAATGCCCACAGATAATTTGTTCGTTCGACGTGGTGGGATCTTTTTGTGTCGGTAAAATTAATAATGCACGAAATGGCGGTGGAAACGCCTTTATGCACAGATATTGAAATACTAACCATCATATTGAAGTAAACCTGGAGTCATGCGATATGGTGTGTGGTCCTCCCACTACGACTCGAGAAACCATGCAGTTTATTAGGCTACAGATGAAATAAGTTTTGATGAACTTCACAGGGTGGTGAAAGTGCACGGTGATGAGCTTGATGCTCCTTTCAATAAATATCGAGGGTCTTATTCTGGTGACATGATGATCGATGCTTGACTGCCGTTTGACAAATAAAAATATTCTCGCTCATGTCCATAATAATCTCATCATGTAGACTAGTTTACCTGCACTGTATCTGCCAGTGGTTGGCTGGAGCGCACCTGCCAAGACCAGAGTAGGAACATCTGCTATTTAACGCAACAGTTTTAGTGTCAAAACTATCGGAAATGTTTAAAATGAGATGGAAACAAATTGAACTCGATTTTTAATCGGTACATGAAAACTTTGTGCACTACCTCATCACGCAACAATATCCTCAACAAGTCCTTTTGGCGGAAACAGGAAACACCACTGGTGGGGAAATTATATATAATATTGTCTTTATGCTGATTTCAGAATATTTGCATGAAAATCTGTCGCCAATTGGATGGAAACCGAGCTAGAGAGATTGAATAATCCAGAGTATCAAGTCACTTCTGGGAAACACTGAACAAACAACAACACAAAGAGCCAAAATGGAGATGTATGGATACACCACTTCTCCAACTTTTTTCGGCCATATAGCAAAGAGCAAAAATATATACATGATAATTTACTAAACATAAAATCAACTATTAAAGACTACCAGAACCCACTGGATTCTCCAACTACAGGACTAAATACAAACCCTCCAACCCAAAAAGGCCTGTGGTGTTGATGGTATCCTAAATTAAATGAAAAAATAAACAGACCACAAATTCAAGTCGGCTATATATAAACTCATTAACATCATCCTCAGCTCTGGCATCTTCCCCAATATTTGGAACCAAGGTCTTATCACCCTAATCTACAAAAGTAGAGACAAATTTGACCCCAATAATTACAGTGGAATCTGTCAACAATAACCTCAGGGAAATCCTCTGCAGAATCATCAACAGCAGACTCCAACATTTCCTCAGTGTAAACAATTGTCAAATTGGCTTCTTACCAAAATACCGTACAACAGACCATGTATTCACCCGGAACACCCTAATTAACAAACAAACAAACAAACCTAAACAAAAAAAACTTTTGACTCAATTTGGTATGAGAGTCTGCTGTATAAACTGATGGAAAGCGG